GATCTTCAAATAATTCATTCTCAAGACATTATTCATCGAAATTTAAATAGTGGTAATATTTTACTAAATGATTTAAGCAGTTCATATATTGCATCGTTGAGATTTTCAATATCAGCAAATATGGCACTAAAAGAAGAAAATCGAGGGATTCATGGAATCTTACCATACATTGCACCAGAAGTTTTGGACGGAGGTTTATACACAAAAGCATCGGATATTTATTCATTTGGAATTATTATGTGGGAAATTTTATATGGAAAACCTGTACCTTATAATAAAGAATTTGAAGCACAACTTCAAATGACAATATGTCATAATAATTTACGACCAGCAGTTATTGAGAACTCTCCTCAATGTTATACAAGTTTAATGGAGAAATGTTGGGAAAAAGAACCAATAAACCGCCCATCAGCAAAAGAAATCTGCGAAATCCTTATAAAATGGCAGAATGAAAAAAATATTTTATTAGAACTAACTAAATCAGACGAAGCATTAAAAAATTGTTCGGATAAGATCTAATTTTGACTAGTAACTTATTATTTTTTTAACAAATAATATTTAACAGATCGCGAATTAAATAAGCTGAACATTGGACAATAATATAAAGAAACATTTTTAACGGAGTTAAAATCTTAAACATAAATTTACATTATTATAAAACGCACCCATTATATGTTTTTATTATGTTTTTTAAAATTTTCTAAGTTTTTATAAGTTTTATATATAAAATGTTTAACACCAATTTTTCATGTTAAAGGTAATATTAAGGTTAGGATTAGGGTTTGGGAAGGGTTTTTGGGGCGTAGAACATTTTTACTTAGAACACCTCACAACAATTAATTAGCCAGTTTTTGAGATAATGTATACATAGGTGTAAAACACCATAGGTGCGTTTTAGTAAAATCCTTATAAATTTTAATAATCTTCAAGTCATTTGTCGTGCTTTACTATTTAAGAGTTAAGAATTTTTAAATCGAATTTTCTCCTTTATTCGTCATTTTATTGTGCTTTGCAAAAAGATGTGGCCGCTGCAGATCACAATGTCGTGTGAAAATCGGAGATTTTACTGATTTTTTGTGATTTCAAAAATCATAAGGATTTTAAGGATTTTTTAAATAAAATATATCAAGTGTCTATTTCAATACTTCAGATTTTTATTTTCCTTAACAATGGTTTTCGCATACAGTAATGACTTGAAATGGCGTATCATTTATCTACATTATGATGACTATTCAACATTGCAAATTGCAAACCTTCTGTATATTAGTAAAAGTTTTGTAAACAAAGTACTGCAAATATATAAAAAATGGGGAACTGTAACTAATCCTTGGAGACAAATACCCGGACGTCATAAAACTTTTAATCGAAATGATATGAATGTAAGACTTTTATTGTACTTATATTATCACTATCTTAAATTTGTATTAAAATAACAGATACTATGAAGCATTATTCAAGAAAATCCAAGTTTGTATCTTGATGAAATTGTTTCGCAAATGGAAGCTCAAACTGGCAAAAGTGTCTCAATTTCTACTATGTGACGTTCGCTTGCCTATTGTGGAATAACAAGAAAAAAGGTATTTATTTTAGTTTATAATCAATTTTCACCCTAGGTGATATCACCCGGTATTATAAAATTTTTATTAAAAATTTAAATTTAAAGTTAGGAATTAGAGTTAGCTTTAGGTTAGAGTAAAAGGTTTTATATATATGTAAAATTTGACGCTGAAAACTTTACTTAGAAGTCCAAAGTATGGTTTTCATAATAAGATTTGAGGTCGTAAAGCTTTTCGATTTTTTTCTTTTTTTCAATTTGTTTTAGTTATACAATATCTGGTAATCTGATTGATTTTTATATGGCTAGATGACATCACCTAGAGTGAAAATTAGCAATAGTATTTATTTTATTTGCATAATTTATACAAGTATAATCTACATAATATAATATTTAATATTTTATTTTTAGCTGCATAAAGCAGCCAAAGAACGCAATGAACTACTTCGTAGCGCCTTTATGACGCATATTGGTTCCCAATATAAAAGTGATCAGTTAGTTTTTTTAGATGAATCCTCTAAGGATGAACGAACCATTGCTAGAGGATATGATTATTCTAAAATAAACACCAAAGCTGTTAAAAAAATAGTTTTTCTTCGTGGTAAACGTTATACAATTCTACCTGCACTTACTTTAGATAGCATTATTACTGTTAGTATTATAGAAAACAGTTATACAAAGACAACATTCAAAGAATTTGTAATTACTCAAGTGGTATAAATTATAATTATTATTTTTTTTGTACAAATAAATAATTTTTTAATTATTTTTTAGCTGCCACAGATGAGTTCATTTCCGCATAAAAGAAGTGTTTTAATACTTGATAATGCAAGAATACACCATGATGACAGACTACTTGAATATTTAAATGCATTCAGTGTACGAGTAGAATTTCTCCCTCCTTATTCGCCAGACCTTAACCCAATAGAATTAGCCTTTTCGTCTATAAAAAGCTATTTAAAAAGACATCAATACTTCGTAGAAAGTTGTTTAGATCCAAAATATCCATTATTTGTTGCATGTTCTCAAATTACCTCATCATTTTCTAGTAGTTTTTTTAATGTAGCTGGTTATAAGTAAATGTTTTTTCAACAGATAATGTATTATTTGATGATGCAAAATGCATATTATATCTTGTGGCATATTCACGAAAAATTTGCTGTTCACCAACAGTATCGATTCCACATTTTATAAAGTCTTCATTTGATAACTTAGAAATCAATCGTATAGAGATTTTTTGTTGTTCGAAGCTTAATAAAAATCCTTGATAATAACCTTCAGTACCTTCGCATTCATCTACATATTTTAAAAAATCTTGAATAGTAGGTTTAATAATTGATTGTAATGGCTGAATAGGCATTTGGGGTAATCCATAAATTTGTGAAGGAAAATATAATATAAATGGATTATAAAATGGTGGTGGAATATAATATTGCCCTGGATAAACTGGCTGCTGTAAAAAATTGTATTGTTGCATTGGATTAGGTTGCAATAAAGCTGGTACTGGTGATAATGTTGAAGGCGAAAATGCTGAAGGTATTTGTAATGATGTCAAAGATGAAGGTGCTTGTTGTAATGATGCTAGAGATGATGGTGTTTGCAATAATACTGAAGGTGAAGGTAGGTAATGTTGAAGTAGATTGGTTTTTTTTTGACTGATGTGCAAATAACAGATGCGTAGGTGGTTCAGTTGGTGATGCCATTGCTTTGCTCTTTATAAAAAAAATAATAAATGTATTAGTTATATAT